CACAACAATTTTTGATGTATAGATGCTGTTTACAGTTTGGTTGGAACTTGTAGATGAAATGATTTCTCTTCCAAATGATTAACGCATGTTTTGTGTTCGAATAGGAAGTTGGAACATGTCCGGATTTTTTTGAAAAATATATTGAATATTTGTCTCAGAGTTCTTTGTGATGAACTTGAACGGTTTGAACTAAATTTTAGCCTTAACCGGAACTAGCCAAACTGAATGAAAAATGTCTTTAAAGTTTGACTTGAGGCTTTTAAATAATTTGATGCCCAGGATTACCGGAAAATTAATCGATTTAGCCAATCTGAAAGATAAATATCTTTTAAGTTTGACTTGCGACTTAGCACAATCTGAAACCAAAGGAATTGCTGACCGATCGATAGCAGCTTCAAGGTTTTCGGAATATACAAAATGTTAAAACCCCCCTGACATATCCCTCATATTTGATCTTTTGGGATACTGCAAAGACATTCTGAATTCTCATCTTGTGATTTAAACTAAACCCTTCAGCAACTATATTTTTCCACCCAACTGCAGCTGAAACCATTAAAAATAAACTTATTTCTGTATCATTAAAAAATTATTAATAAAAACACAGAAAAACATAAAAATTCTACACACACAGACAGATGGAGGCAATTTATGGAAACTCTACTCGGGGAAAAAAACGTCAATAACCCAATATGCATAAAACAAACTCGCACCATAAAGAGTATGTATTTAAATTAATTTAATTTTTGAAGCAGCATTTACAAACATGCAGGCATGTTTGTGCATGCACATCTACACAGACACAAACAATTTAAACTTTACAAATTAGAAATTATAACAATTTACAGAACGGAAGTTACTCGTATAATTGTAATAAAATTCTATTTACAACAGCAGCTAGCCAGCCACTCTGTTATTATTACTTATTTCAATATATGGATGCACATACCAGGTCCAATAACAGAACAGCAGCAGACGGGCAGATTGGACGAGCGGACAGAAACGTATGAACCACAAAGTAAAATGCACTAAACTAAATGACTGACTGACAATCATATGTGTGTACGAATGAATTGCAAAATGCATGAAAGATGTGAATGAGTAATAATATCATCCTCTTCATCAGCTTCATCATCATCTTTATTTAAATTGTGGTTGCATTTTATTAATTAAAGTAGTCCCAGAATGCACAGAAAAAAAAACATAATAAATAAAGGAACACATTATAAACATATAAAAAAAAAAACACAACAAAAAATATGGAAAATAAACTGGTTGCCTGCTGCATGTATTGGATGATGTTCTTCTGGTCTCGAGTCTGGCCTGGTCTGGCATACAAATATGCTTTAATTTGTTGTTGTTATTATTATTTTAAAATGTGAAATGCGTAAAAACAGTGTATATTGTTGTTTTTGTTGCTGTAGTTTAAAACAAATAAGAAATTAAATGAAAAATAGCTCATATAATGAAATGACATGTAAATTAATAGCATCTGGTTGATTTTAATTTAAATACTACTCGGCTCGGTTTTTTTATTTCGTTTGCATATTAATTTATTTGTTTAGGCAAATAAAATTATTTTTTTTTTTTTTTTTGTTTTAGAAGTAAGGGGAAGGGTTGATTTTATTAAAGAAAAATGTTTGATGTTTGTGAAAAAATATTACTCAAGTGCAAGTTTTCAAAATAAATACAAGTGAAACTGGGATTATAAACCTGCTCAACATTAAACCATATAACAGCAATTAGTTTTTGCTCTCAATAAATAATTCAGAGATTACAACAAAAGTGTTCAATATTGTTCTAGGTTCCCTTTAATCATAAGTTCATACAAAGGTTAATTTATGAAAGTACTTATAATCAAATTGTCTATAGAACTATTATCAACCTGTCTTTCTGTTAGACCTAAATTTCACACAGAAAAAATAACATACAATTTCCATTTCCTGATGTATATACGAATTTATTCTATATGTACTAATATAGGTACTCTGTTCATACCTATATTTGCACTAAAATATCAATAGATGTTTTATTTCTACACCCAGACATATGTAGAACTAACTCCTGCCCCTCTTCCTTAACAAAGTTGGGGGAAATGAATACGAGAATGTGTCATTTTTTCCAGAGTCAGTATTTCTTTCTTTCATTATTTTTTTGTTGTTTGCCTTAATCATTACATTTCAATATGAATGAATTGATATACGAGTACCACAACAACACAAAACGACGACTAACTACAACAACTTTATCTACGAAGTGAAACAGAACAAAAAAAAAAACAGATACAAAAACGAAAAATTAACTGTGTTATGAATGACAGTGAATTGTAGTCATTTGCTACTAAAAAAAATTGTATGGAACACAGGGTTACGCTATCTCTATAGCACGCTTCCCCTTTTTGTGTTTGGACATTCCTTTCTCTCTCTTGCCGTTCCCGTACCCCAAAAGTTAAACCTTTTTAGCTGTAAGTTTCAAAATTATAGGGAACAAAAGAAGATTGTTATATAGGTACATATATTTTATCTGTAACAAAATAAAAACTGACTTTCTAAAGCCCATTAATTTATTTTTTACGAGTATTTTATACAATATTTTTTTTCCATTGATAAAGTTAGATATTTTTGTGTTCTGTTTCTTGTTTTTACGATTTTGCAAATTAAAAATAAATATAAACAATTTGTGTATTTTTTAATGATTGCAGAAAGATAAGATACGCAAATAGTTTTAACTAAACAGTTAGGCCCAGATATTTTGAAATATATAATTGTTTATAAAGGGAAAATGTATTTGGGGACAGAGAGTATTTAAATTGGTATGGCAAAGAAAGAAAGTTTAGTTAATTGTTGGACTTGGTTCTATGTGACATTCCCATTGCTATTATTACACAATTTTAAATTGAACAATGAATAAAATAAATTAAACATTTTGAAATCTAGTCTATAGTCTAGTATATAGTCTAGTCTATAGTTTAGTCTATAGTCTAGTCTAAAGTATAGTATATAGTCTAGTCTATAGTCTAGTCTATAGTCTAGTTTATAATCTAGTCTATAGTATAGTCTATAGTGTAGTCTATAGTCTAGTCTATAGTCTAGTCTATAGTCTAGTCTATAGTCTAGTATATAGTCTAGTCTATAGTCTAGTATATAGTCTAGTCTATAGTTTAATCTATAGTCTAGTCTATAGTCTAGCCTATAGTCTAGTCTATAGTCTAGCCTATAGTCTAGTATATAGTCTAGTCTATAGTCTAGTATATAGTCTAGTCTATAGTTTAGTCTATAGTCTAGTCTAAAGTATAGTATATAGTCTAGTCTATAGTCTAGTCTATAGTCTAGTTTATAATCTAGTCTATAGTATAGTCTATAGTGTAGTCTATAGTCTAGTCTATAGTCTAGTCTATAGTCTAGTCTATAGTCTAGTATATAGTCTAGTATATAGTCTAGTCTATAGTCTAGTATATAGTCTAGTCTATAGTTTAATCTATAGTCTAGTCTATAGTCTAGCCTATAGTCTAGTCTATAGTCTAGCCTATAGTCTAGTCTATAGTCTAGTCTATAGTCTAGTCTATAGTCTAGTCTATAGTCTAGTCTATAGCCTAGTCTATAGTCAGTCTATAGTCTAGTCTATAGTCAGTCTATAGTCTAGTCTATAGTCTAGTCTATAGTCTAGTCTATAGTCTAGTCTATAGTCTAGTCTATAGCCTAGTCTATAGTCTAGTCTATAGTCTAGTCTATAGCCTAGTCTATAGTCTAGTCTATAGTCTAGTCTAGTCTAGTCTATAGTCTAGTCTGTAGTCTAGTCTATAGTCTAGTCTATTATGAAGTCCTATCTATAGTCTAGCCTGTAGTCTATAGTTCAATCTATAGTTAAGTCTTTAGTTTAGTCTATAGTCTAGTCTGCATTATAGTGTATATTCCATTCAATAGCCTAATCTGTAATACTGTTTATGGTCTAGTCTGTACCCTAGGCAATTGTGCTCTTGTCGAGTATCCAGTCTACGGTTTGTAGTCTCTTCTAGTCTAACTTATAGTCTGCTCTAGTCTATAGTCAAGGCTATAGTATAGTCTATTTATATAGTCTAGTTTATAGTTCAGTCTATAGTCTAGTTTATTATCTTGTCTGTACTCTATGGTCTATAGTTCAATCTGTAGTTAAGTGTATAGGTTAGTCTAGTCTGTAGTCTAGTGTATATTCTAGTCAATAGTCTAGTCTGCAGTACAGTCTAGTCTATACCCTCGACTATAGTATCCGTCTGGTGAATTATGCTCTGGTCGAGTATACTGTATGTTCTACTCTGGGTTGTAGTCTATGGTTAGGATTAAGGAAAACTTATTAAAGAGATCAAGTATAAAGTGTACATGTCACTAAATGACCACCAGCTACTATTTAAGTATTTCACTAGCTAACGGTTCCCTATGGATAGTAAAATGTCTTGCAAGTGGTTTGATAAGTAAACAGTAATATTTTCAATGCTTTTAGGAAAACTTAATTGCTTCGATTCGACCGACTTCTTAACAAATTTCCAATAAGAATCTTTGTTTTACTTTCCCTATTAAAAAATACTGCGTATAAAAATTGTTTGTTTAACTTAATAATACCACAAATCTGTTTCGTTAATATTTAAACGTTTAATGTAATTTGTAACAACAAAGTAAAAAATGTTGTTGTTGCCTTTTTGAATTATAAAAAAAAAGTTAAAAATTGTGTAAATATTAAAAGTAAACAAACACCACCAGCCATAAATGTTAAATGAAAATTCTTTAATACTCTTGTTATACTTTTTTTTATAATACCACTTTTTGTTGTAAAGCAATTTATTATAAAACGATTTTATTCTTTACAAATTCATGAAAAAAAACTAAAAAAGAAAAGTATTAAAAAATAAACATTTAGGGCTATAGGTGGAATTAAGATAAGAAGTCAATAACCTTAATAAAATAAAAAAACTTTTAAACAGATTATTTTCTGATTATAAAAGTGACCCAATTTAGTAAAGAAAAACTTACCTTGTAGAGCCACAACACGACAACCATCTTGTTTCAAACGTTTATGTAAAACATTAATGGTGGAATCAGGACTACCCAAAGCAGAGCCCAAAACATCCAGGGAGGAGGATTGTTGTGAAGACAGTAATAAGGAAGGAGCAGAGGAAGTATCATTATTAGCTGTAGCCAAACCTCCGCCACCACCGCCCACCTCATTATACAATACAAACAAACTGACTTTATAGCCATTTTGTATGCGTTCCTTAAGATCGGGCGATTTGATGGTGGATAAAAGATCAATTTTTCCCGCCGCCAAACGTCTCAGCATAATGCTGGGTATGGAGAAATTAACAGCAGAACGTATATGGCACTCGCTAAATTCATTGGAGCTGCGACAATCTAATATTATTAAATCTTTGGCATCGCGCAACGAAGAGGAACCGGAAACGGTACGCAATTCCGATTGCAACCATTCTTTGCTTATAAATTCATATTCCGTTTCAGGCATTTTGTTTATGTTTTTGTTTTGTTTACTTCTTTTCTTTTATTCACTTAACTGTATTGTTTATGTAAGCCCACTGTGACAATAGGAAGATAATTTTGCTCAATTCTTTTTTTTTTCTTTGAGTGTAAATTTGTTGTTCTATTAGTTTTATTATATATTTTTGTTGTTTTTTTTTCAGATTCAAGTTTATTTTAGCACATTATTGTTATCTTACGAAATTCATCAACCATTTGTCATTTTCTAATTTCTAAACAAAATACAAAAAAATTATCTACTGAGAGAGCACAACAAATGATTTGCCTCTGACGACAACAAACATTTTATTTTATTTTTTTTCTGTATAAATTTTATTTAAGTTTTGTATTTTGTTGTAATTGTATTTAGCGCATTTCATTAAATATTTATTTATTATTTTGCATTAATTTTCTCAAAAATTTGTTAAATTTTGCATTTTTTTGTTGTTTTTATTTTGTACAATTCTTTCTTTTTATTTTCTACACTTTAGTTGTTTTTTGTTGTTGTTCTCAACTTGACATTACTCATGGCTTTTTTGTTTTTTCTTTTTAACAAAAGTGTACCCTACACTTTTTGGTTTTGTTTTTTTATAAATTTTTAAATATTTTACTAATATTTTTAGTAGTTTAAAACTTTTTAAACAATTTTCATTTGTTTATTACACAATTTTTTGTTGAAGTTTTATTTATTGAAACAAAATTTTTGTTACAGGTTCTTTTTTTATTATTTTTCTTTTATTATTTTGTTGTGTATGTATTTTGTTATTGTTGTAGCTGCAAGACTAAACAAAAAAAATTTTTTTGTTACTTTGTTTTGGAGAATTTTTTCTTATTACTTTTTTTTGTTGTAAAAAACAATGTAATTTTTTCAAACTTTAATTTTACATAATTTTATAAAATTTCCTTTAAAGATTTAAATTTATTATATGATAAATTTATTTTATTTATTATAAATTTCATTTAATAATTTTTTTATTTTAATTTATGTAAATTATTAAATATTTTTTTTTTTAATTTGTAATTTGTTTTTTCTTTTTTAGTTCCAAGGCACACCACCAGAGCGTTACCAGAGCGTTTGTGTAAAATAACAGAGGAAAAAACAAACCATTAACGACTACAGCCACGAGTAAAGTGATTTTCATCCAATAATTTTTAAACAGTCAAACATTCTGTGGATGGATGGTTGGATGTTGTTGTTATTGTTGGTGTACTCAAGTTTGTGTTATTTTTTTGGTGTGCGAGAGTGTGTTGTGTTTTTTTACTTTGCTCTAACAGGGATGGAAATGTGTTTAGGTATATAGGGATTGTGTTTTTGAAAGTAACAACGAGTGTCCAGATAAATCTGTATAACAGTTTTTTTTCTTCTAAGAATTTTTTCTCTTTAACAGCTTTTTGCAGAAAAATAGTTTTTCTAGTCAAAATGTTCTGTATAACAGTTTTTTGGAGAAAATGTATTGCTTAACACAGTTTTTTCTAAAGAAAATTTTTTATAACTGTTTTCTATATAACACTTTGTATAACAGTTTTTTTAAAAAATGTACACTTTTTTCAAAAAAATTATAACAGTTTGTATAAAAGTTTCTGTAGCAAAGTTTTTGTAAAATTATATTTGTATTATAATGCATTATATTACATTATAAATGTGTTATAATACATTATAATTGCATTATAATACATTTTAATTGTGTTCTAATGCATTACAATACGGTATAATTGTGTTATAATGCATTATATAACATTATAATTGTGTTATAATGCATTATAATACATTATAATTGTGTTATAATGAATTATAATATATTATATAAAGCTTTATAATACATTATAATTGTGTTATAATGCATTATAATACATTATAATTGTGTTATGATGCATTATATTGTGTTATAATGCATTATAATACATTATAATTGTGTTATAATGCACTATAATACATTATAATTGTGTTATAATGCATTATATTACATTATAATTGTGTTATAATGCATTATAATATATTATAATTGTGTTAGAATGCATTATAATACATTATAATTATGTTATAATGCATTATAATATATTATAATTGTGTTATAATAAGTGTTATAATATCTTATAATAATTGTTTTTTCCAAAACTATATTGTTTAGATATTCCGATAACAAAAAAAGATTAATATTATCAAGCTTTCCATCCCTGTTAGCTACTTTAAAGAACAAAACAAAAAAAAGAGTGTAGAGTATTAAAAGTGTTGTTGCTGCTACTAATATTGTGCTGACTGCTGAGCTGCTCACAAACAACAAATGTAAACGTTACTTTAGCAGGTATGTACAATAATTTTCCTTTATTATTTTTTTTTTTGTTTCTCCAACAAAAAAACCCTTATCAATACAACAAAAATCATAAATACTTGTTACTCTCTTCCAAAATTTACACACTACATACTCTCATGATGTACTTTAAAAATAGTAGAAATATTAAAGTGTGTGTTGCTTTTTTGTTCAGTAAGAAAATGTCTCCATTTAAATAATTTTTTTTATACTTCATTCATTGCGTGTGTAGAGATTTATTTTGCTGTTTGTTATTTTTTTTCATAAGTTTCTATGAGATACATATTAAATTTAATATCTCTCTATTACTTGTACTCTTTTGATTTTTTTTCTTCTCCCCTTTTACTCATTTTTGTTTATGCTCCACTATATTGTGTTTTCTTCTCTCGTTTTCATATATTTTGTATAAGTTCATTGATATTTTTCTTTTATGTATCAATATCTGTGTGTGTGTGTGTTTCAGTGCCGCGATTCATTGAAATATAGTGTTCAGTTTAGTATACCGAAATCATAAAACCTTTTCTTACATATACAAATACGAGAGGACCGCGAGTTCACTTTGTTACTCTGCTGCCATTGTTGCCTTTATAGCTGTTTTAGGTAGGGGTGTTTAGGTTGTGCAGTGTATTTGAAAAAAACAAAAATCGCCAATTTTTTTTCTATATTTTAATACCCACCCAATATTTTTGGCTCAGAATAATTTTCTGAGTCGATTTAGCTATGTCCGTCTGTCTGACTGTCTGTCCGTCTGTGTATCCATGTAAACCTTGAGCGCATGCTCAATCATTTTCAGAGTCGATTTAGCTATGTCCGTCTATCCATCCATCTGCCTCTGTGTGTCCATTTAAACCTTGAGCGCACGCTACAGGTCGCAATTTTCAACACCCAATACTTTTGGCTCTGAATCATTTTCTGAGTCGATTTACCTATGTCCGTTTGTCTGTCCGTCCACGTAAACATTGTGCACACGCTACAGGTAGCAATTTTCAAGATAATTTCATGAAATTTAGCACATACTCTTCCCAAAGACGAATCCTATTGCTAATGGTTAAAATCTGTCCATTATTTCGCATAGCGCCCATACAACCGTCCCCCCCCAATTGGCAATACCTAGATTTATATAAGTCCTAGTGATACTGCTTATTTTCGTAATGATCGGGCATCATTTGACTCTATCCCCCATATAAAGTCCCCTTCAAAAAATGAATTGATGGTCAAAATTCACTTATAAACACTCATATCATCACAATGATAAAAAAACAATAATTAACATTTGTAATGTAGCCACTGGTGTAGGATATCATATGGTCGGCCATGCCCGACTATAAATTCTTACTTGTTTTTAAATTGTTTGTTATTTTCATAATTTTAATATTTTACTCTTTTCTGTTAATATTCTTTGTTAGTGTTTTTTGTTTACATTCGTAATGTTTTACAAAACTAAATAATTTCCAACATATATAAAGAAATACTATTTATTAAATCGAGAAACTATATGTATCCTCGAACTTCTAGTAACTATTATTTTTTACACTACATACACACCTTTCACAGTTTTCTTTTAAATATATACAAACATTTTGCATTTTTTTTAAACTTTTGATAAAATAAACACTTGCTCTCTTGGCGTGCAAAAATAATAGTAAAGGAACTTAATATTTTACCCAAAAATAAACAAGAAAAGCAAAAAAACAAAATTAATATTTTCTCTATTTTGGAGACCTAAAAACAAATTTAAATTTATATCCATGACCCTGATACTTCAAAAGCAAAAGTAGCTGCAAAAAACGAAAGAAAGAAAATCCCAAAAGGGAAAAAAAACAACATCCTCGACTACAACAAACAGTGACCTCAGAGCAGCAAGCTGTTTAGGCACCACCGACCCATCAACAACAACAACAAACATAAAAAAACGAGGAAAAAATCAGTAATAACAACCCATAAACAAGGTGAACTTATTTCAAGGATATCAAAAACAAATACAAGCGCGTGTTCAAGTCTACAAGATAAAGAAGAAGAAAAAAACTTACAAACAAACATTTACTCTCTCATAGACACACACACACATTTAACAAACTGTATGTATGGCAAATGTATGGGTATGTGAAAAATAGCGCCTGCGCTGTTGGGGTATCCTTGTTTTCAACTCTACAAAAGTTTTTTTTTTTCAATTGTATAAGTAAGCTTCGTTTTGCGGGGGCCTTTAAGGAGACTTAATGCTAAACCTAAGAGTAAAGTAATGTTAGACAGGGTAGAGAGTAGCCAGGGTAAATGTATAATGAAAAATACCTACACATTTACAGATATGTTGTATATACATATATATGTTTAGAGTAAAAATTCATATAGGAAATTTATTTGTTGGTATAAGTGTTAAATACATAGACCTTCCTCTATATATTATTTGTAGGTATATAAAGTATATAATGTTTATATATTGAGTATTGGCCAAAAAAGCAAGTAAAGTTTAATTCATGAATGAAAAACCCACGCAGGACATAAAATGAAAACATCTATTTACACATACACTTCTTTAGGCAAAGAGCTACATACATACATATATACATATGTATGTATGTATATGTACATAAGTTAATGTGTATAAGTTAAAACCCACTTAAATTTAACGTAAAAGACAAAATGACTATTTGTTTGTTAAATTAGTCAAATAGTGAGATGGTGCAACAGACAAACCTAAGTTACTGTCAGACATATTTACTGCTGCTAAAGCAAACACGTAAATTTTATTACAGTTCTAGTTAATTGTATTATAATGACTTATACTACATTGTAAATGCATCATATTATGTTTTAATTGCGTTATAATACATTATACAATATTATAATCGTATTAAAATGCTTTATACTACATTATAATTATATTATAATGATTTATATTAGATTATAATTGTATTATAATGCCTTATAATACATTATAATTGTATTATAATACCTTATAATACATTATAATTGTATTATAATGCCTTATAATACATTATAATTGTATTATAATGCCTTATAATACATTATAATTGTATTCTAATGCCTTATAATACATTATAATTGTATTCTAATGCCTTATAATACATTATAATTGTATTATAATGCCTTATAATACATTATAATTGTATTATA